TAATAGTTTAGTTAAGATGTAAATACAATAAAAATTAAACCAAGATTTAGAATAATTATAATTTTGATCTGTATGATAATGTGTGACTGGGCCTCGTGTCACTTTGTGTTCAACAAATTGGGCCCTGAGGTCAAAAAGTATAAGAACCCCTGAACTAGAATACAGTATAAGCACATTTTAGATTCCTTTCTTTGGTACTTAAAGGGCACATATGAAGCAAAATCCATGTTTTTTAGTCATTAAATACATTTTTTTGTGCACTTGGAGYCTTTTGAAGTAAAGAAAGGTTTAACTTAGTTTCTCCCGGTGCTGCATAGATATCTTTATATTCTGTTTGGGTCATGTTTTTCAATCTGCTCAGTTTTATGTATTCTTAATTATTACATCACGGAATTTGCAATGTAATGTCTAAATAAGGTCTGGACTTATCAAGAACATTTTGGTGGTCTTCATTCTCCTCTGGTTCTGTGTCAGACTCTGGCTCCAACATGTAAGGCTGGATGGACAAGTCTTCCCTTGTTGACGTATTGTAATTAATTTGTAAATATAAAAAAAGTTCTGCGCAGCTATATARTCGTAAASCCCYCTATCAAACAAGAATGAACCSCTCTGGAWGTTGGARGGGGGCGGGGTGTGAAGCGCCTCGCTTGGATTTAAACACAGCCTCAAAACGAGTTGATCTAAGACACACCTCAGAAAAGGGGCGGGGCTTGTGGAGATATAAAAAGTAGGAAATCAAACCAAAGCACTGCAATTCCACTTTGTATARACCCCATCTGAAAGATTTAAATGTGAAGAAGAAGGATTTAAAAGCATGATATGTCTACTTTGTCATTCTGGTATCATGAGCAGTTCCGGAGATTTTTGACAAAATTTAAAAGAGGAAACTTTAAACCGTATTTGGATATCGAGATTTCCCAGCTTGTATCGAAAATAGCTTTGCTACAGCATAAGGAAAGTAGCAAAAAAATTTTACCATATTGTGGACATTTCATTGAAGGGACCCATAGATAAGGTATTTGTTTGTCATATTTTGACAGAATCAGATCATCCCAAATTTTYCAATCAATCATAATACCACCATGTGACTTAATCCTCAGTTCGATGTGATGGGTCACATATTTGCTTGTTTATTCATCTAAATCAGAAGCTACAAAACGTCTGAGCCTAAAAAAGAAACCACATTTGCAATCCTAATTATTGTTCTTTTAAATGCACAAATGTTGGTCATAAACTAAAAATCAAGAGTAAAGCACCACTAACAATTTTATTAAAGTAGGATATAAGGACAAAAGGATTTGGCCACACTTTTGTCACACAGCTGTATGGAGTTGGTATCTCTTTTATAGTGACAACAGTTTCCAATCWTCTAGGAAGGCTTTCTACAGCATTTTCTATAACAGTTGAAATAGATAAAATCTTTTCCCAAAGTGTTGCCTCAAACTTGGAAGCATAATGTGATCCAGAACGTCTTGGTGTGCCGAACATATTCCTGGAGATGAGAGGACGAGTCCAAACTCTGACTGAAACACTTGAATTCAAATATTACCAGATGTAGCTAAATACTTGTAGCAGTTTGTTCAATACTCTGAGACAATTGTGTTTTAAAATGTGGTGTTATGGAAAATAAAACCACTAGAAACATCAGATCCTAAATGGTGAAACATGACATCCTGTGCTCACGATAAAACTGTTCCAAAATCACACACGTGTAAAACGAGTCTTTCACRTGTGTTTTTAATGATTTTGGCTGTGATATACCATATAGCATTTTGTGTTTTGTAGTTGTTATAGTAAAAAATGGTAACACTGACTAATATTTCATAATTTTAACAGAAAAACAAGAATTATCCCCCACCCCCTGCACACAGCACTGACTGACTGCAGTGAAATAAAAGCCGTTTTCYATTCTCACCTGAGAGAGATGATTTCTGCTCATCTTGCAACACTGCCTCTTCCGCTCCCCGCTGTGAACGTGTGACCTCTTGATTGTTCTCCTTGTCTTCCTGCGGTACTGCGTGGAGCTCTTCCGCTTCCTTGCCGTCCCCCTCTGCCTCCCCCTCCCCAGAGTCAGTACTCCGGATGCTCAGGCGCCTCACCCGGCATATAACGTCCACCTCTCTCATTCTGGCGATCCGTTCAACCGCCACGTGACCTGGAGAAACAGCCAGCTTGTTCTGCAATGCTTCTATTCGCTGGGAGGGGCCTCTGGTCCTCCTCTCCCCCTCCAAGCTTAGAGATAACCTTCGGTCTAGATTTGGGGGGATTGAGAGCGGCAGTCTATCTGGCGGAAACTCAGGCAACCCGGGATGGTCTTTCCCCAAATGAGTTCGTAGACCAAATCTAAGTTCTGGGACCGAAACAGACTTTTTCTCTATTTCCTTCCTGCCTCTTGGCAAAGTGTTGCTTTGCCCCTCACATTTTGCTACAAATCTCTTTTTGCCTGCATCCCGTGTTTCAGCTGAGCAGTTTTTTTCCTTTTCTAAGTCTACATTTTGAGTYACAGTTTCATTAACACGCTGTTCCTCCGTGACATCTAAGGTTGCAGGCTGGTCGGTTTGTAATGTGGGCGCAGAGGAAGGATCRTCAGTGGATCCATTTTCAGGTTTGCTCTCAGCAGGGTTATTCGTGCACGAACTGTCTGAGGTTTCTGCCTGAGCGTTTTCTGTTTGTTCACCGTCTCCTTGCGTCAGTGAGTGCTGCTCCGTTGTTTCTGCACACGAGTCAGGCCCTGACGAGTTTAAAGTTGAGTCGTTTAGCTCCTCGGTTTTTGAGTCCTCTGCTGGACTTTCTAACGCAGCACGTTGGGGAGGACTTCCATTTTGATTGACTGAGCTGTCTGAGCTGTTCTCCTCGTGAAGTGGAGGCAGCGGACCCTGTCTCATCTGATTCTCAAGCTCTCTTTTACAAATAGGACACTCCTCCTCCGAGTCAACACCAGGATCTTGAGGAGGCTCCAAGTCACTGGTTCTAGAATGGCCTGCGGACGATCTGCTAGCATCTGTCGGCTCTTTAGATTGACGCAGAGCCTGGCAAATGTCCTCGTAATCCGGAGGACTGGTGAGTGTAGAGGCATCCTGCATGGGCTGTCGATCCGCCCAGGGGACCTCGGCTGCTGTGCTGTGCGTCGTTGGGCTGAAGTCACAAAGCGGCGTCTCGATAGGCTCATCTGGCAGGTCCAGTTTCACCGTCCTGCCATCRTTGCTCCTTCTGCGTGAAAGATGTGCAACAACCCTGTATTCTCTGAACCCCGTCTCTCTTGGTGGGACTGGGAGTTCTTCTCTGAGCTGTTTGCTGAAGGTCACTGACTTGGTTGCAGGCCTGGAGAAGGCGCTCTTCACCTCTCTGTATTCGGGGTCAACAGACCAGCTCACCGCACTGCGTCTAAGGCTGCTGGGCTTGTTGAGAGGTTCTGAAGTCARTCGGATTTTGATGCGCTCTGGTATTTGAACTGAGCCATTGGGGACTTTACTGCCGGCAGTGCCTAGCTCTAAGATGTCTTTGTAGGCCTCGTTGAGGTCCTCTATGCACTTGTCGACACTTGGTTGTTTGTTGGCCTGTTGCTGCTGTTGATCCTGGATTTCTTTTTTGATGGTCTCCAGTTCTTTGACAGCATCCCACGGCCTCTGCACCGTGGGTTTGATCAAAAATGGTTCAAATGGCTCCTGCCCACTGTTTGCTGGTTTGGCCTCCTCCACATTTCCTGAGGGTGGTGCTGCTGGATCCTGAGCTGTACTCTTGTTCAGCTGGCTGGAGAAGGTGGAGGTCAGAGAGAATGCGCTGTTGCTCGACAGTTTCAGGCTTTTGACTCCCTTTATTGGGAAAGTGAACGCAGCGCCCACTAAGCCGCTGCTGTCTGCTGCGACATCAGTGTCAGGAGGGATGGGGTCTTGTTGTGCTTCCTTGTTCTCAGGGCTGGGTTTTTGAGCTTCCGGGCTAGTTTGTGTCTCCTGATCTCGATACTGGTTTGCAGGCCAAGTTCCTGACAGCTTCAGCTCCTTGTAATGATTTATTTTAGGGGGTCTACAGGGTAATCTTTTAAACATTTTGCTGCTCGCTCGGCTGCTTGTTTTGCTGCTTGCTATGCTGCCAGTTAGAGCCTGCAGCTCAGCTTCAGCTGATGATGTGCTTTGGAGACTTTGGTTTGTTAAATGACCAGTTTTGTTGTCACTAGGACTGCCTGCTGGGTCTGGTGACTTTTCATTGTTGTTATTCTGGTCACGGATCATTACAGTGGGCTGAGGGGTAACAGGGACAGACACTAAACAAAAAATGGTTTCACTGAGTCTCTTTTTTAGATTTTTGGATTTTTCTTTCTCCGGTGGTTCGTGTTGTTCGACTTTCTTTACCTCTGTCGTCGTTTCAGAGACACCCTGGTCAGCCGGTTTACATGGAGGTGGTGGTGGTTTTCCAAGAAAAGATGAGGGGAAAATATGACTACGAGTATGTTCAGGACCTACGCTTTCGCTTTTTTTAATACCCCTGTTGCACCGTCGATTACTGCTGTCACTGTCGTTGAGAGCTGTTTTGTTGGTTTCAGWGTTGGGAGCTGGCCCCTGCTGGGGAGGAAAGGCACTATCATGTGTAGATTGTCCTAGAGCCTTAGCAGACGGAATCTCCTTGCTGATGTTTCGGATTTTGTCTGAGTCAGTGAGAGAGTTCCCGCTAGGCCCTCCTGAGATTTGCTTCACTCTTGGGTCCTCAATGGGTAATTGACGAACCAGACTAGGTTGTTCTTCCAGTGAATGTACCTTTTTCCGGTAGGACGCACTACGTTCCTGATAATGTTCCAACCACAAGCCACTGCTCTGTCTGGAAAGCCACCTTCCAGGATCTGACATGGGCATTTGCAAAGCTTCTGCCCTCCATCTTAAGTTTGCCAACTCATTGCGATTGAGTGAAACTCCTCTCGGGGGTGGGCCTCTCCTATATGAAGGGGGTGGAATGTAGCCAGGAGGCTCCATTCCAGTGATGGCAGAGTGTTGTGCGAAATAGTCGTGTTTCAGCTCCCCACCCCTTGGATAATAGATAGACCTGTCTTTTTGTTTGGCACCCTGCTCTATGGCAAGCATTTCTGCGCTACCCCTTGTCTGCTGGTGTATCTCATACGATGGTGGCTTCAAAGGCCTGCTGAACCTGGGCTTTGGTAAAAGTGCAACATGGCTGCTCGGGCCGACATTTCTACCCCAACCATTTCTACCACCACCATAGACATATCTGCTATAAGGCCCAGAGAAAACAGTGCTGTTTAACCTTTGCCTATCAGGTAGGCTAGGTCTGGATGGTACGAGCTCTCTGCAGTCGTTTCCATCAGGTGACAAAACTCTGGGGAGTGACTGAGACTTTGCTTTAACTCTAGGGTGGAAAAAGCCCTCGGGTGTCCTCAGGCGGTACTGGTCCTTAGCCCACCTTTCCCCATCCCCATCTGACAGCTGCCTTCCCATGCCCACAGCAGGCCTCCACTCCTCTGTACCCAGGCTTTGGCACTTCCTCTCCCCAGTCACCCTCAGCTGACCAGGGCCTGCATCTGGGTCCCTTAACCAGGAAATGTCCTCCCATAGCTGCTGCGCTTGCCTCTCTGCCCTGTATTCCTCTGCCGTCATCAGGGCCTGGGGCCTCCATGCTCCAGCGGAGGCCCTCAGTTCTCTGCCGTCAGCGTAGTCCAGCAGGATGCTGAAGTCCTGGCCTCGCCTCCGCCAGTAGGAAATATCCCGCTCATCATAGCTGAGTGGCTCTGAGTAAGTCAAACTAGGAACATCATAGAACCTGTAACGACAAAAATGTGTAGTTTTAATGAGATGGTTGCAGCTTTAACAGATAGAGTGTCTCAGAGATACAATTAGGTTAATGCTTCCAAAGCTCTCAGTTAGTTTTATGTCAGCTTTAATCTACTTTTTTTTCTAAAATGTCGGCACATGTAAAAGCCACCCATAAAATTTTAATGACAACATACCAATCTCTCCGGTTTTCTCATTGTTAAAGATGAAAAATGACATGTCCGAGTCAGCAGCGAGCAAGCGTTTCGGCTGGGGCCATTTTGGCTTTCCAATACAACTTAATCAAGACAAGCCAGCACACATGAGACAGATGTGCTTAAGTCAGCGACTTCAGACTTCCTTAAAGACATCATGAAATTGTGATGCTACTGCAATATGATCTGCATAATAAATTGTGCCCACCCCATCTTGAAAACTGGTCATCTGGCCAGCAACTGAGGGTCTTAAAATCTTTGTACTGTAAATCCATCCACTTACCTGATCTGATGTAAAAGCATAAGTGTCTTTATTTATGTATTTATTCAATCACATAACTGACCTTTAAATATGAATCACTGCTCCTTCAGGAAACAGTATGAGCTACATACTTTTAACATTAAATAATGCATCCAATGAACTGTTACTTTACTATACGTGTGCAGTTTTTTATTTGTTTTTAAAATAAAAAGTGCCAGGTTTGTAATAGTGCTTCTGCAATAAAGCAGGAGGGGATGGAGTGGGGSATTAAAGAGGGTTTTCATGAAATGAACACACAAAAGCACACAATTAACATGTCATTGCAATAAAAAATCAAAAATAGGGGCAAGTATTGATATTACTGATACTCATGTGAGTACTGGATCAGATCAATACTAGGGTGATGATCTTGTTGATATTGGTTCTTTTGAATACATTTTATTTGCTCCATTGACTTATAAAGTGAAAAATAAAATCAGTACTGCAGAGCTTCCAAATTGTTGGCTTTAGTTATTAGTCCTCTACATCGTGCCCGTGTGCTATGGAAGTTAAATTTTGTTGTGTTTTTAACATCAACGTATTATATATTTCTTACATTGTTGCTTATTTCTAGTTATTTTGCACTAATGACTGTTTTTTCCTAAACCATTTTATGTAATAGAATGTAATAGGAGAATTATTATTATTATTATTATTATTATTATTATTACTGGTACATCACTTTATTTTGTTGAATTTAAATAATACAAGACATTTTTTTTGCCTAAAGTCTTTGACCTGTATTTTGTCATAATCAACTAACTATACTTTATCTTGAGAAATATTGATATCGGTATCAAATCGTATTGTACCATATCGTACCATACCGTATTGTACCGTACCGTACTGTACTGTACCATTTCATATTCTACTGTACTGTACCATAACGTACCGTATCATATTGTATCATATTGTACCGTACCATAACATGCAATATCATATTGTATCATACCATATCGTACCGTACCATACCAATTCATATTTTATTGTACCTTACTGTAACAAACCATAACGTACCGTACTGTATTGTACCATATCATATTCTATTGTATCGTACCGTAGCTGTCAAATCATCTTGTATTGTACCTTACTATAACATACCATAACGTACTGTACTGTATTGTACCATACCATACCCTACTGTAGTGTACCATATCATATTGTATCGTATTGCACCATACCATAACGTACCTTATCGTATTATATCACATAATATCATATCTTATTGTACCATACCATATCATATTGTATCGTAGTACCGTACCGTACTGTACTGTACCTTATATTCTATTGTATTGTACCATAACCTACCATATCGTATTGTATCGTACCAAATCGTACCGTAGCTATCATTGTAYCTTACTATAACATACCATAACGTACCGTACTGTACTGTAGTGTACCATATCGTACCATACCCTACTGTAGTGTACCATGTCAAATTGTATCATATTGCACCATACAATGACGTACAGTACCTTATCGTATTATATTGTATAATGTCATATTCTTATTGTACCATATCATACCATATTGTACCATRCCATACTGTACTGTACCATTCCATATCAAATCATGTTGTATTGTACCTTACCGTAATGGACCATAACATACCATATCATACTGTACCGTACCATGTCATGTTGTATCGTATTGTACCTTACCGTAACATACCATAATGTACCATATGATGTCGTATTGAAGTGTATTGTATTGTATTGGTATCAGTATTGGAATTAAAATCCATGATATATTGGTATCAGTATTGGAATTAAARTCCATGATAYTAGCCCTGTATTTACTTGGAATTTGATCAATACCAAAATTCCTAATATGATCCACTCCTAAAACAGGCTTAGTTTCTCTTTGACTAAAATCATTTTGTTCAGTTGCACTCAAGTTTTAACTTTCTGATGTTTTTCCCAAACAATTCAGAGAATTGTTTTTGTTTGTATAGCAGAGGAAGTGTTACCATACCCTCACCAGGTCATCCTGTCCTCATGACATTTTGTTACAATCAGATTGGGAGTAAAGCATTTTTATTGCCTTTTCAAACTTTAAATACAGTCATTTCAATAAGACTAAACCAACGATCGCATTTTCCTCATTGTGTAAAAAAAACCCTCATATAGCTGAAGCTTCCTCAAATATCTGCATTGCACAAAAGCCCTGTTAGTCAATGTACTCCTTCATTGAAGCAGCAAAGTCAATGGATCATCCTCAGCAGCATATGCTACTGTATGGCTGAGGGGAGCTGCGCTGTGCACACTTGCCCAGCAACATGCTTACATCACGGAGCACGTGCTGGGTGTGATTCAGTGTGCCAGTGTTTACAGTGGAGTGATTACACGCCTGTCTTCAGGCATGTTGCTCGCCAACTAATGCCTCTGTTTACACCCGCCCGAGCCCCCCGGTGGAGGCTGAGGAAGCCGTGCGCCGGAGCGGGCGACCGCAGAGACGCAAGCTACGTCTCCAACARCTCWAGGCACCTTTCGTATTTCCTCACACTCCAGCTCCAGAGATGTCAGTGGTGCTGCTGCAGCCACTCTTCTGCAGCTCTGTGAGGAGGGGAAGAGAAGAGAAGAGATGGGAGGGAGAGGGGGGAAAAAATCCTGCGCAGTGCAGACTCAGTTTTGCATGCAATACTGACGGGCCCCATRGAAGAGGTTAGAGAGAGTATGGAGAAGGTAAAGGTGTGTTGTGGGGAGGGGTGGGGTGCAAAAGAGAGAAAAGCACTCACCCACTGTCTGTTGCGAGAGAATCACCCAAGGGCTGACCATCACCAAGGATACCAATACCGACTTCTTTTCTCCTCAGGATCCTCTCCCCACTCTCRTTGTCTGTGGCAGGGTAAGCCTTCACCAGAGCCTGCCTGGTGCCGTAGATCCCTGTGATGGAGGTGGGCTCCCTGTCCGCCTCAAACCCGTTCAGGGCCCCCCGGCCGGCCCTGTTGTCCACAAGTTCACGCTGGCAGTCGGCGGGGCGCTTCTCGTAAGGCGTGGCCGACGGGGGGCCGCTCTTGGGCAGTTTGTATCCGTGGGAAATGAGGAGGTCCTCCACGCTGTACATGGTGGCGTCTCTCTCTCACTCGGTGGGGGGTGCGGGAGGGCAAAGGTGGGTGTGTTGCCTTATGCGCAGTGCTGCTGGTGGAGGCTGGAGCACGGAGGCTCAGCAGAGGCCATTACTGAGGAGAGAACAGGGAGGCAACTTGAAAACAGCACGCAGCGAAACCACAACCGCTATTCAAAAAAATAAAATAAATATAAGACGGCAGCCGATTCTCAGAAAACTGGTGTTTGTGTCTCTTTTCAGAATTGTTTCGGCGCACGCTGTTCCAAACGCCTGCTTTAAACCATCAGAGGTTCTCATTGAGCAGTAAGAAACCAAACAGAACCGGGTCAACTCTGAACTCTTGGTGCAGTTTGAATGAGTCCACTCCAGTTGTTTTCCAGATTCGTTGATTTGCAATTCTGAAATGCAGGTACGCACTCAGTGTGAACAAAACAATCAGCCTCACAGGCTGCGTTTCCGTTGCAAATGTGCGCAAAACTTTGTTGATATTCTGTTAATGTCGAAAAACACAGTTTCGCAACTGCAGTGTTTCCATTAAGTAAGAAATGCTATTAAAGTGAATACATTTGTTCTCACAATAAATCATTACAAACATGGCGGCGATGGATGTAAACACATAGCATGTTGCTACCTCATCATCAGAGGAGACGTCAGCGTCTTTTATCGAGGCTTTCCAGAAACAAGACCCTGGCAGCGGCTACGTATGCTGTGTTTTTGGGAAATTGTAGTCGGTGAGTTTACTATTTTATACTACTTCTGTGATATTACTACTACTTCTACTTCCTGTTATCTACTTTGTCGTCGTCTTTTTCACCAGTAGAAACAGCCGGTTGTTGATCATGTGACTCCCGTGATGCGAAAAAAGTGCTTCCATTGCAGTTTTGTGAAAACACCAATTTYGATACGGCCGAAAAACCACCTCATCCTAGCTCAAAAACATTTTGTCGAAAAACTGATTTTTTTTTCGAAATTGACGTGTTTCCATTGAGCAAATTTATTTCCAAAATAAATTTGTGCATTTTCATGGTCAGTGGAAACACAGCTAGTGACTGCAGTGAGTTTTCAGCTGTTTTTTCAAAGTAAACAAACACGTTGGCATCGATTTATAAATTTTAAAATATTTAAAAATAACCGTATTGACACATTACCCATCGATAAGACAAATAAAACTGTTTGGATTTTGTTAGTTTTATTAACGTTGTACCATTAAAATAAGCTTAAAACAAACAAAAAAAAAGGCTGTACTTGTTCATTATGGTGAATGGAAACATTTATTTGTTGTTTACTCCACATAAAGAAACTCCAAACATAAAGCTTTTACCCAAACTCTGCATTCCTCCGTTTTACCTTTTTCTTTTAAAAATCCTGTAAAAAACAGACGGGTCCGTACCAGATCTGATTAAACTTCAACACAATCAGGTTCTGTTTGACCAAAACTCAATACCTCCTCCTGACATGAACACAAATTACATGAAGAGGATTAAAGGGTTGTGAGAGATGAGACGCATCAGGACGGGTTAGAAAAGATTTGTTTGACTGGTCTGAATGGGAGCGAGGACGAATGAACTGGAAGATGGTTGGAGAGTTTGACATGATTTAAGATTCATGTGTTTAGTGAGCAAAGCAGGCAGAAAAGTTCTGGACTAATTAAAGTTTCTGGATTCATTTGAGACGTGCAGTGATCAATATGAGACATGTCAACAATGTCAAATAAAATGAGATATTTAGGCGCCCTGAACAAATGAGATCATTGATGTGTTATAAAACATATTAATTATTAAAAAGGATTACACGCTGACTGTGGAAATTTCAACATTATTAAAGAATTTAGACCAAAATTTAGTTTTTTATCTCTGTTGTGAAATATATGTTTCCTGAAGATGGAACCTAAAGACCAGAGGTGGGCAATCCTGGTCCTCGAGGGCCGCAGTCCTGCATGTTTTACATGTTTTTCTGTACCAACACACCTGATTTGCATGAATGGATGATTAACTGGCTTCTACAGAGCTTGAAGAGATAATTCAATCACTGAATTAGGTGTGTTGGATCAGAGAAACAAGTAAAACATGCAGGACTGCGGCCCTCCAGGACCAGGATTGCCCACCCCTGCTAAAGACAGTATTTAATATAATAAACAACAGAATCCAAAATTATGATTATGATTTCTCTAAAAGGTCCCAGCATTTAAATAAATTATCAGCGTAGATTTTTTTACTTTTAAACTGATGATTACTATATTTTATTTGTTTGTCTTTTTAAAGTTTGTCACTGCAACGTCACAAAGATTAAAAACGTGTWTTTATTCTCCTACAAAAACAGCCAAAGTGGCTAAAAAGCAGGTCAAAAGCGAAACTTGTTGCTGTATTTGTTTACCTACAAACACTTATCTAATAAAACTCGAGCCTCCGCTCGATTTTCATCGGATTCAGATGGGTGTTTTGTTTACATTGAGTGCAGACCCGCATTTCAGACTGCACGGTTTGTGCTCTTCATGTTTCTGATGCAAATAAGTTCTATTCTATAAAAGTACAGCGAATCCTCCAGCTTTAGAAATAAAAACAAATTATGTTTGGCAAAAAAAAAACATGGCCAAAATCATTGACGCTGAATAACGACAGTAATGTTACCTTCATGTTTTCACTGCTGAATAAKGAATATTTGATTCAGCTTTAAGTGTAGAAAAGAAAAGACACATGTTTTATGATTTTTTTTGTCTGCATACCTGTTCGTATGTTGGTGTGTGAATGCAGGAGCAGGCCTGCCTGTCTGATGTTTTAATTAGTGCCTGTAACAGTGCTCTGCCTGCGGATGACAGTGGTTCTCTTATAGCTGTAACACATCCATCAAAGGCTTTGTGCACGTTTGCATCCACAGACTCAAAGACTGGATTCGTTTACATTTTCCATTAGGAACGYGACACTTAAACGGCGCCGAATCGAAGCCCGTTGTGTTAAAGCAGACCGCCGCAAATCAGTCGAGGTTTGCGTGAAACTTTGTCAACATCGATCTTCTGCTCGCRTTTATTTCCTCACCTCAAACTCCCGTTCTGTTTCTGGTTTGTGGAACGTGTCGGTGCGATAACACGGATCTGAACGTGATGCAGAGACGTGCAGACAGATTAGTGCCCGGCACSTCAGATTACAGACGGAGCAACGTTAAACTCCACATCATCTGTGCACCAGAGCGCCTGCTGTCCACCACTTTCATTTAACTCTTGATTAGAAACACTTATTTTATCATTCTGGGTTTTTTTTTTTTTTCAGATGAGTTCACTTGACTTTTCTCAAAAGCTGTTAAACATTTACTTTTTTCTGTTGAACATTACATGAAGGATTGCATTTTGCATCTGTAAAAACAGAAAACATTGTATGGAGCTGCAGCAGTAAAATCTGTGACAAGGTTCTTGAGATATTTTGCTAACAGACTCAGGTGACACCAACAATCAGAGCCTGTTTGGTGCCCTGGGTAAGAGTTCAGGAGGTGCCACTTGTTTCTTTATCTCACCGACAATTTACAAACATTTCCATCCCAAATAGTTCTGTCTTTGGTTTTATTTTTTAATCTTTAAAGATCACGTTGTCCAATTAAAATAGTTAACAATATGATTAATTTGAAATAGAATACCAGAAGTCTACTTCTGTGGAGTGAAGCAGCTCTAGGGGGGTCCAGTGGTATAGTCCCCCAGAAAATGTAGTAAAAGATTTACTCAAAACTTTATATTTTTACTGATTCAATGTATTTGTTTAAGAGAATGATAAACATTAGTTTGTTAAAGAAATATGAAATTGCATGATGTGTATTCATAAG